TGTCAGCCTGTTGATTCTTTTTGGACGACTGCTTTTTTGAGGAAGTGTTCCCCGTAGGTTTCTTGACATAAGTGTCAAGATCACCTTGCTCAGCCAAGCGGTCTAGGTACCGCATGAGACTGATGCAGTCATTGGTGTGATGACCAACGTCATCATGATAAGCACAGATTTTATCTTGGTTCCGGTTGTTTGCAGAACCCTTCATGGGGAGCGGCTTCTCAATTGAGAACCGTCCCTTTATTTCTTTTAGGATAAACTGGTTATCCTTGTTAAACACATACTTTGGGGAGTATGGTTTGAATTCTTTTTTCTTTTTCTGGGCCGGCTGTTTAGAGGAATCAGCCGCCCAGACCTCTTTTCTTTTCTCATCTTTGTTGGACGACTGTTTCTGCCGTCCCTCTCTTTTGTCGAACCTTTTTCCGTCCGACTGTTTTATTGTACACAGATCAGTCGCCTGTATATAGGCTTCTGCTTCAATCAAGGCCTCTTGAAGAGTCGCCACCCTCTTTCGAACTAAATCAAATTTGAAGGTAGACCCGTCTTTGAGACCTCTAAAAAAGTCAGTATAAGCTACCTCATCCGGTAACCCTTGAATCTGTATTCTCATCAGATTGAACCGCCTGATGTAAGAACGAAGCCCCTCCTTCTCGCCCTGCTGAATTGTTCCCAAATCAAGGGTCGTTTTCTTCGCAGGGATGTTCATAGCGAAGTTGGAGGCAAATAAGTAAGCAAGCGTCCTGAAGCTGTTTACACAACCAGTCGGCAGGTTCCCGAACCATTGCTGTGCAATTCCCTTGAGGGTCGCTGGGAAACACTTGCACCAAGTGGGATCATCCAACCCTTGAAGGTACATCAGGTTGGTGAATGCCATCAGGTGGTCTTCTGGATTAGTAGTGCCGTCATAGGCGCCTACTAGAACATTTTTTACTTTGGCCGGCTGAGCGGCTTCAGTAATTTCCTTGGAGAAAGCCGATGGCTGTTCACCAAGTCTAAGCAGCCGTAGCTGCCAGTCCATAGGTTGGACGTTTTTTGCTGCAGGTCCACCAAATGGAGGTGGCTGCATAAAATACTGTTGTTGCGGCACAAATGGTAAGTTTGGTACCGCCTGGGCACTATGAAAGCCGGACTGACGGGAGGTGCCGCCTGACTGACTCTCATGGTACGACTGAGTATGCCTCATCGAGGCATTTCGCAAACTGTCTTGAAAATTTGAAGTAGAAGCCGACTCTGATAATCGGTCACTCTTCTTCTGCTCTAGCAGGAGCCGAGCATCTGTGAACGTTTGCTTTGACCCGTCCGCCTGAATATGACGAACCGGTTTCCTATTTCCCGTAGGATAACGGAGTTTTGTGAAATCAAGAGCAGGTGGCTCTCGCTTCTTAGATTTAGGATGAGGATTCGCCTCTCGCCCTTGAACTGGCTTCCTCTTCAGTGAAGTGGAAGGTTTCTTGGCCGACTGCTCTTTGACTAAAGCAGGCGGTTTTTTGTTGATCAACTCTTGAATCTCTCCCTTGAAGTCCCTCATGAAGGTCATGAGTTCGTTCCTTGTGATGGGAGCAGACCCATCAGTCGGCTGTTGCCGAGCAGGCGGTGCGCCTGCTGGCTCGCTTCCTGTTTGAAGATGCTCCCGTTCCCTCCTTTCGGTATGACGGGTACGTCGGGCCCTTAGGGTCCCGTCTGGAGCTGTATGAGTTTCAACTTCAAATTCACTTTCGGTATCATGGTCCGACTGAACTTGAGGATCGTCTAGGGGACGCCTCTCTTCAGGAGTCGGTACAGACTTGGATGCCATCTCTGAAGTACTCTCCCCACAGACGGCGCCAAATGTTTCGGGGTTTTCTGATGTCCTGCGGGAGAGTTACAATTCCGAGACTGGAACCGGACGCCTGTACCTGCAAAATAACGGAGACTCCTGAGAGCTCCGCCTCCAACGGTCAAGTTAGTACCTGATTAAGGAGTAATTAATACGGAAATTAAAGTAATAAGATCTCTCTAGGTGAGAGTGCTTAGTGTTGGTAATCTGCGTCGTTAGCGAGATTAGCCGGTTGTTGGTGTTCCGTAATATTTCTGTTCTTCTCTGCTTGATTTCTCTTCTTCTTAATTAATGAGGATTAATTAAGTATTTATAGCCTTGAGAAGCGTGCCACTCTCTAGGTTTAAGGTAAACCTAGGGCTGACCGGGCCTCTAGACTGGATTGGGCCTTGTTGGCCGGTTTTCCCATTTGGCATGGGTGGACACGTGGCGTGCCTCGATTGGTCCGTAGAGGACGTATCTGTGATTGACACGTGGCAGGCTCCTATTGGCCTTCGTGAAGGACACGTGGCGGAACCTGGTTGGTCCACTTGTCAGACGGTGATTGGTGGATAAAAATCCCCTAATCAAGTGTCACGCCACGTAGGCGACAAATAGGTATTATTGTGACACATATGATGCTAAGTAAGTGAAGTTTGAATATATTTTTAAATATAAAAAAGTTGTATAGAGTTTAATTATCGATATACTTCTAATAATTCATATATACAAAATTAATCATAACTTTTAATAAATATCTTATAATTCAGTACTATTTCCATCATAAAATTCGTTTTAAAAGTTCTTTAAAATAAGATCCATTTATAATATATTTAATTTATTTAAAAAAATAATAGAGAATTAGTGAAAATAAGTATTAATCGTGAAAAATAATTTTTGTTTTGGTAAAAATACTTTTAGTTCAGTAACAATAATTTCACTTCAATAAAATATATTTCAATTTAGTATAATTAAATATCCTGCATTATCAAAAGGGATTATAGGATCGTATTTAACATTCAATCCAAAAAGTTTATCCTAAACTTTTATCAACCATTTGGCCATCGCCCAAGCACAAAATTAGTGTAGAATAAAGTTGATTAATCGGGTTTGGATCGGGTCAAATTCAGGAAAGAAGACTTTTCCTTATGGTATAAGCCAGGTGATGGACTCATGGTCAAGTCTCAAGTGAAGAGATTGTTGATTTGGGTTTAAGTTGGGTTGGGTTTGTTGGAGTTAGTAATGCAACCGGAAATGCTTTATCTCAAACTTAACCTGGTTGATTCATCCAACCGATCAGGCAAGAGTAATTCCTTGGTTGAATACTTCTACAACTATCCGCTACATGGTCGTGTACCTTGTACTACACGATCGTGCGATATACATGGCAGTGTACCTTACTCTTCACGATCGTGTGGCTTTGCACACGAACCTATCTACACGGTCGTGTACCCTCTTCAATGCGACCGTGTACGTCAGGTATTATTTGAAGTGGCTATCAGCTGGGCTTAGTTGGGCACAACATAAACTGATAGGTGGTTTGGATTTATTTGTTTCCTTGTATAGGAACTTTATAAATACAAACAAGTGCCTCTTCAATGATACGACTTTTTGAAAATCCTAAACACATAAACACAAACCTACCCTTTGAGATCTGAACACTTCTTAGCAATTCCATTTTTCAAGTTTGGGTACATCATGTACGGAGGAAAGTTATATAAACATTGGGGGGCGTGCGTCATCAGGAAACCTGTAACAATGGTGATGTATTTCGCTTCTAATGCAGCAGATTCTGTTCTGCGGCACAACTGTATTATTGAGATCTTCAATCGAGTATTTTTCCCTTTCATCCAATTTTATTTATTGGAATTAACAAGTATTTTTCCAACAGGGTTAATGACAAGTCTAATGTCAATTAATTTATCGTGGAATGTTCAACTAATGTGAAAACTATTGCATTAGAAAAAGATTTGAATCTCCCAATATGAATGAATGTAATATTAGAGCTTTAGGAGGGGAGGGGGTTTGTGTTAAATCTACATTTTATCGTTAAATGAATATGTCAAAATTCCAAGATGCTAATCCAATCCATTTTATTAAATGAGTTGGAACTTGGAAGTCATTACACTAAAGCCACGTTTGGTTGACACGGGAAATAAATTCTCATAGGAAGTTGTATTTCAAGGGAAGTTATTTCCTAAATGAAATTCCTAGGAATTTGTTTAAGTTGTTTGGTTGTGACAATGGAAAATTGAAATTCCCATGAATTTTGATTGACCTGGGGGCCCTAACCGCCTAGGTAATATTTTGTGGGAAGTAGAAATTCCTATGAATTCCAACATTTCCCATTTTTGTTTTTGTGTGTCAACCAAACAACTACCCAAATTACAAATTTCCATGAATTTCCACTTCTCCCATTTCATTTTGTCAACCAAACAAGCCCTAACTCGACATTAAACTAGTTGTATCAATTCATGTTACTTGCTAGTATATTAAAATTGTGAATAATCAACTTTATATTATATCCCATACCACCATACCTTAGTATTGTATTAGTTTTGTGTTGAAAATATTAACACTTTACTTTAAGCGATTAATCTCATATTGACCCACTTAAATAAACATATCACCATGCTCCCTTTGATCACACGGCTAACCCACATAAACAAAGAAACAAGTAAATATGCTCAACACTAAGTCCCTAACCCAATTATTTCATGTCAAGTTATTTTTGCCAACCCTACTTATGATTAGGAGGCATGCAAAATCTAGTTAAAGGGTGCAAAGGCATCACTTGCACTCCGGTATAAATAAGTACCTCGGTTTAAATTACACCATCAATATTCTAATAGGAGCCAGCAATGTTATACAAAGTAGATTATATTTGAGTAGATCAAGCTAATGGTAAAACACTTTCATATAAAGAGGCTTCAAGAACATTACAGCTATATTGATGTGTAATTGTAAACTAGGTTAAAATCCCGTGCAATGCACGGTTGTTAAATATTATTGACAATAATATTACAAAAATATAAAGTATATAAAAGATATTCAGAAATATTTCATTTAGGTATATATGGAATATGATTGTCAAAATGGAAAGAATATATCATAAGGTATAAATAATTTACTTAAAGATTTTGAAAAAAAAAAAGAAGAGAGAGAGAAGCGAAAAAGGCGGGAAATTTTTTTACAAGATAATGACAAGTGTCGTGGAAGGATTTGCTTTTAGTATAGATTAATTGATAAACACTTCGTATAGAACATGTTAGCAGTTTTTTGCCACTCCCTACAGGCTACAGCCTTTCACTAACACCCCTAAAAATATCATTACAATTTCTTCCTCTCTAAACAAAGGGTAAATATACAAACAAAATTTCCTGTACAAAGACAAGAAGAAACTATTCCTACAGAAAAACACTACACCGTTCCTCATTTACATGAGTCATCTTTCGCCAAACATTGTCTCCAAAAGAGCAGCTTCCTCTTCCTGCATCACAACACCATATTTTAATGTTTGAAAAACTTTCATATTACTGTCATTTTTCACAAGAAAAAAGGAAAATATTTTTTTTTTTACATACCACTAATGCATTAAATTCGGTCTCTTCGTCTATTGCACTTACAACAGCAGGGTCATCCAAAATATCCTGATATACAGAAACACGAATGAAGGATGAGAACCATCTATCCCCATTACTCATGCATTTATCTAGAAGCAATTTAAATTCCAAATATCACGCCTCTTCTAAGATGGTTTAGCACTTCATGGTTTAGCACTTTAGCATGCAAAACACATGCTTGAACAGCCATACACAGATCAGAGCAGCCTCTGTTGTAAAAACCCAAGCACCTGTATGAAATATGCCACCAATATGCATAGGCAATCCAACGAGAATCTAGCGTAGATTCTGCCATAGGCAGCCATCTAAATGGTAGAGGAAGTGTTTCCAAAACGTCCATACACATTTCTAGGACCTTAATAACATTTTCATTTTAGCAAAATAGTATTTACAGAAACATATGGCAGTGACAGTTAAAGCGGTAATAATAGTAGATTAGTAGTAGTGAAGTTCTTTTAGATTTCACAAACAAGCAATCCATTTCCTGAAGACCAACACACACACACAAACACACATATCTCAAGGCACAGTTGTAAACAAGCAATATCTACAAACACAATATATGTGAATACATTTAAAAAAGAATATCAAATGGGATCCCAAGGGCTCACAACTCAACAGTCTAGGAGCAAAATAATTTCTTCCCATAAAGCTGTAAGGAACACACACCTTATGACAAGAGAATTAAAGGCCTCAGCCAACAGCTCATGGGAACAGTAACAACAAGAGACAAATAGGGCAAACATCAGCACTAAGGCTGTAAAGAGGGGGTTGTCCCTACATTTCCATGGACTTCGGTGTAAAGACAAGTCATGCATCAAACACAGACGCTTTTAATAAGCACTACATATAAATCCCCTATGGTTCTCTGTCATAGCCCTGATATTGGAATCATGATGTGTTAGACATTCTATCTAAGAACCAAACACAAATGAATTAATGAAAGACCAACTTTAACAAGCCCCTTTAGGATCAAAATTATCTCATGTCATATTTCAAGCTGCTTATTCATTATAAATAGATATGTCATACAGAATTGGCAGTCCCATTAGCTTTTATTGTACATATATCAGTTTAAAGAGAAACTTACATCATCGGCAATTCTCAACTGGCCATTCTCATCCTGTGCCAATAAAACAAATGGAAAATTTATCATCTAGCTCATTCAATAAGAACAGAACAGGAAGTTAACTTGACATTGATTAAATTAAAGCACGTTCTCCATAGATCATAATTCTTTGTAATATTCGTTGGCAGTTACAAAAGTTAAAGAAAAACTAACAAAAGACTTGTGTGGAGCATGTATAAGGAGAAATACAATTGAAGTACCTTGACAGCAACAAAAAGAAGTGGTTCAGAAGGTGTGTAAATCATATAATGGGTCCCATCCTGAAAAGACCATAATGCAAACAAGTGATGAACACATAATACAAAATAATAACGTTGCAGACAACAAGTACCTAAAACATCATAGAATTCCAGTTTGTTTCCATCAAGTAATCATAATTGATAACTTGATATTAGATTATTATTAAAACCTTACCAGATGAAAACAAGTAATCTCAACACCTTCATTTGGCACACCTTCTACATCTTGCCCATCATCTGCATAATAGATGTATCATAGACAAATTTAAACCATTAACATAGATTTTGAGGCACCCATAACAAGTATTTATGCAAACTGTACAATGAAGGGGGAAAAATTCCATATCATAAAATTTAAAAACTGTCCATCAGGAAGACATTCATCAATTCGTGTGAAAAGGCACTGCAGCTATGCAACTACCTTCAAAAGGAACCCATTACAATTACTTGTTCATCTTCATACCCATAGAGAATGATCTGGCATTATCACTTTTACAGGTTTACATGAAGAGTTTTTGAACATTCACAACTGGCCAATTAAGACAGTTTAGGATCAAATAAAGATCTAGAAGCCCAGAAGGTCAATCATCAAGGAAAGTTCCAATCAACTTAAATGATGAAAATGGAAGTATCTAAACCTAGACCTTTTTTATATTTTATTTTGCTCTATGACACAAAGAATGGGAAAGGGGACAGCTTTGAGAAAACCCACTTTGTAGCACACTGCTTCTTGAGCTTACAATTGGATTGTCGTAAGCTTACAACAAATGTACAGATGTACCCACTATTTTTTTATTTTTTTTTTCTTAAGGATTAAATATAGAAGAGAAACAAAATGGCTAGCCCCTCTCCTATTTTCATAGATCATACTAACTCAAGCATTAGCTACTAAGCGCCCGAGAATTTACTATATACTTAAGAGATTGAGATTTGAGGCTCGCTGTACCTTGGAACAGGACCATGCTAGTTTCAAAGCCAATGAATCAGAAGATAGAAAATTAGGTTGAGTGAAAGAAGGGGCCAGTAAGTGCCATACCTGATCGGAAGTCAAATATGCTTTCTTCTGAGTAGCAAAATCCTCCACGAGCTGTATAGCAAAACCTGTTTTGCAAACATAGAAGACATGAATAATCACAAAGAAACTGATGATGCACATAAACAGCCACAAAGGATGGTTTCTTTCTGCCAGCGAACGAAATGCTCAATTCTTATATCTTACCCACTATGTACCAAATGCATATGTATTTTAGCAAGTGCATAAGCAGCATTTGGAAGGATAGCTTCAACTTCATCATCATTAACCTATAAATAAGAGGTGCTGCAAATTTAGAAACCTTTTGTTTTTCCTGATGAGAAACGATGATAAATGGGGATATTAAACTAAGACATAAACAGCAATAAACAAAGAAACTAATTTTGAAATAGATAAATGCATTGGCACATGAAAGCAAGGACAGAGAATATAGACATTTTCACAAAGCTCAAGTACCACAAATTCTGCTGCACCAATGCCACCAAATAAGCAAAGCTACTATTTCAGTAACCATAGGCGCAAAGAGATTGAAACCAAAGTGCATAGAAACCAGATAGAGTTAAACTCTAGGTGCACTATGTGTTGCAATACCAAACTGATTACTTATCAGTAAATATAAAGGTTACATAGTGACATTGGTCAGAGAGCAGAAAAAAAGTAGGAAATGGCAGAAAATGTTGTAATATTGAAGCCATATTCTAGAGTAAAAGCATAAGATGGTCAGATGGAGCAACAATGTCTAACAGAAAGCATGACAATATTGGTGATGGTTAACTACTATAAACAGAATGGTGAAAAGGATCAGGTTTAAAAAATTCCTAAGCAGATTATAAAAGACAGAAGGATAGGATTTGGTCACACTAAATACCCCCTCACAGTGAATACCAATAAAAAAGAATACTCCCTTTAGAAGACAGCCACGAGATGAGAAAGAAAAGGCACTCTTTCTAAATTAAACTTCTATCTGCTTCCTCCTTACTCATGAAGCACGAGATGACCGGTTATTTGCGTTAAAACTATGGAATTTCATGTAGCAGAATCCATCTGCTATAGATTGCAAGAAACCACCATGTGGTCAAACAGTTCCACAAAGTAATAAGATAGTGGGAAGCAGAAACATACAGCTGACCACCCGTCAATATTTGTGCTCTTCAAAATCTGAACAGGCCTGCCAAATGAAAACATTCTTATAGATCACATCCTGAGTTGGCAAAGATGACATAGTGAAGAACTAAGATATATAATATCAAACAAAACATACGTATCAACTGGGCACAGCAGCAGACAATCATCCCCTTTAAAATTTGTAAATACTCTCCTTATCATGCACTCCAATGGAAGATTATTGGTTGGGTCAACCTGTGCACATAAACAATCAGTTAAAAATAAATGTGTTAACACTGTTTAAGTAGCTAATTGCCTGAAACTACAACCTGCCATCAAACCATGTCTAGCAATTATCACAACTATCCACAAGCTCAAGCTACTGACCAAAGGTCACAACACAAGGTACGGAGTTCCCAATTTAAAGGCAATGATGAAATAGACTCCAAGCCATACAAAGATTACATAGTTTGCAATCAACCCAAGACACATTATAAATCCAAGAAAGAAATCTATCACCAAATTCTACCCTCAATTTCTCACAGGTTTCGACTTACAAAAGCAAACCCTCACAACATACAAAATACATATGAGTCTACATCAACTTTCAAATTCAAGCCCCCCATAATAAACCCATTTGCACTAACAAGCTCCTTTAATCATCAGACCACAATCACATATAAAATCATTTCCATTACGGCCATTTATTACCACCTAGGCACCTACTATACGATCCCGAAATAGAATTAACCCATAAAAATCAAACAATCAATATGAAAAGCAAAATTGAGCAAATTAAACCCAAATATCACTAACATAAAATAAAATTAAACAATAAAAAATATATGAAATAGTTGAAAGAACACTCAACAATAGTAGCAATTCGCCTCGGGGCAACCATAAGAACACGGCCTTGATCATCAATCACAAACCCAGCAGGTGGCTTAGGCAAAGGAAGAGGAATATAAACATCTGAACGCTTTGAATTTCCACCATTTTCACTTTCTTCTTCATCCAAAACATCAAAATCATCCAAGCTCAAATCTTTAGAAACAGGAGGAGGAGGAACCTTCTTCTTTCTTTTCTTGGAAGATTTAACTGATGACCCACTTTGCTGTTTTGCAGCAGCACAAACAATGGGTTGCAGTAGTTTCTGGGGATTTGATGAAAAGGGTTTAAGGTTGGAAATACAGATTGAGGAGAGAGAAAGTGGGATGGTTTTATGGGGTTGAGAAAATGGGGTTTTAGGGATTGATAAATGGGATGTTGAAGAAATGGATAAGGCCATTGTTGCTTCCCTCTTATTTCTGCAGAAATGATGAAAATTGGGTGTTTTTCCTGTGGTTTTGCAGATATTTTTTTCCTTTTTTTTTTTTTTGCCGGTATTTGAAGAAGAAAGGCTTCAGGAGAAATATCAACTTGGACCCCTAAAGATTTTTCATTTTAAAGGGTTTCAACTCACTTCACTCCAGGTTTTGTCACACTATTCATTTTGTACTCGTACGCTATAGTGTGTAATGTAATAGCCATAATTTATAGACTTATAGTTCATACTTTGATAGTTCAAACCATTTTAAATCTAGTTTAAACACTCAATATTATTGAATCGTATTATTTCAACACGTTTTTTTAATGTAAATTTTTGCTCTCATTTCTGACCTCTTACTAACCTTATTTTTTTTTCCTCCCGTACCTCTACCTTCCATATGTATTTTTCCATGGATTTTTAGCTTGCTTTGTCTCTTGGTTAACCAATTAGTGGGGTATAACAACTTAGATTTTAAGTTGCACATTTACTTAAAAAATAATGAAAAAGCATACACGTATGGACAGATCCTCAATGAGAAAAGGCAAAAAAAAAAAAAAAGCTTTTGTTGTTTATTTTTTTGTTAGCTTTAAAAAGTTAACCAACTTTATGAGCATTAAATACTTTATTGTGAAAATCCAATTATCATAAGCATGTGTGTTTTACACTTTTATTATGTTCATTTATATTTAGCTGATAACAAGTACATGAAATGGCATCATGGATGTTAAATTTTGCAACAATTTCACTCTACTGATTCCACTTGTTACTGTTACATTGAAGATAACACCACCTGGTGAAGTAAGAACTTGGAGAAAAGCATTTAGCACTAGGATGAAGCGAACCAGGCGATACAGCAACAGGCACTGCCTTGGCTGCAGTTGCTGTTGCAGCTCGGTTGTTGGGCCAACTAGGCTACTTTTACTCGTTGAATTCAATCGTGAAAAAGCCCTTTGATTTCAAGCTCCCCATGTTTCCTGGAGTTGAAGCCTTCTTTTGTCCCATGATTGAAGAAGATGGCTTCCATTTGCAATGAACCAAAACATGTGTCGCAATAACTTCCAACGAGAGCTTTGTATCTCTTGGTTCCTTCACTACATGTAGTAGGAAACTGTATAGAAAAAGTCATGTCTGCACACAATGTTTATATTATTGTTTACTACTCACACATCACCATTTCTCCCTACGAAGGAAACTAGCATGACAGATAGCTTAGAGTTTTCACTTGCACAGTTGCACCAAACAATATAGACATGAAATATTGTAAGTCAGTAATAATAATGTGCTCAACATATATCATTTTTAGTTTTGTGCACATTGGAAGATATATTGAATGAAAAGTATGCATTTCATGAATTGGTATTACTCCGTACAATGTTTATCTTGAATGTAATAAATGCCTCGCTGTTTCCTTTCCTCTTTTCTTCCCCAATTCTCTCCTCAACTTCTGGTGGGAGAATATTCTGGGTTGCTGAAAAACCGGCCATATTTTTTTTTGGTATGATGTATATGACTCAACACTCATAACGAGGGTGTTCCCTAACTGAATAAAACTAGGAAGTAGCTAATACAATTATCAATATAACTGCCTATCAACTGCAAACTGCTTCAACAGCAAGCCTTCTAATTGTTCCCGGACAATGACCTAAATCGAAATTATCTTTGCTCAACTCAACGCTGCAGTCCCTTCTATTTAAGCAAACCTGCAAACAAATAATAATATAACATATGAGGGAGGCTATTCTTATGCTTCTAAGAAACAGCTAAGAAAATCAGGAAGAGAAACGTTTTTCACCTTTTCCAGCACAGATGCAGAATTGGGATCATGGCAGTCTCCCTGGATGTACGACCCACAAGCTCCCGAAGGGTTCCCAAAACTGGCGAACTTAATAGCAGATATGCGAGTATTACTAGGGCAGCTTAGCTGCGCAGTTGCCTTTTTATCGTTGGTGTCTTTCACAGCAGTGGTCCAGGATTCAACAGAGACAGAAGGATGATCTTCAGAAACGAAACTGCAAACACCTGTGGCTTTCCTCTTGGAGAACCTAATCTCAGTTGGATCTCCACCAATTTCTTCAAAGATAACCAATACATTGCCTGATGGCTTAAACCAAGACCGTGGAACATGATACCTGCACCAGAGGAAGTGATTTAGATTGACCAGCTAACAAAGTGGACAATACTAATACTCCAAAAAAAAAAAAAAAAAAAAAAAAAAAAAACGAAAGATGAGAAAAAGAAAATATATATTCAGCAAGTTTAAGTAAGCATTTCTCCTTTTGTGCCAGACGGAACCTGCATTCTTTAATGAAGATCAAATACTTGAAAAGGTGTTGAGGAAGCACGGGGATGGAAGTTTTGGATGTAAACAATACATCACCAAAATCATGCTTACATGTCGCATCTACTTGCAACAGTTGCAACAATATAGAAAGATACAAGATTCAAAATTATTAAAGAAGGGTTGCAACTATGTACTCGTACCATCTCTGGGTCGGTTCTCCACATCCCGTGCTGCACTTGTTGGGTAAAAATTTTCCACGGTAGTCACAATGATCAACACAATCATGATGCTTGGGACTTTTTCGAGGCCAATATCTTCCTATTTCCTCTCCATTCAACCAAGCTAAGCCCTTCCCCATATGTATCATATCCAGTCCTACAGGCTCATTCCCAGAGGGTGGGTCCACCAAAGCCTTCATAAGTCAAGCAGGTAAGAAATTATTAGATTGGCTCAAAAACTGAAAGCTAATTTCTAAATCTCAGATCACAAAGGCGTATTCTTGACTCTACCTTGTACCATGTAAGCGGTTTAGTCTTAGGTGGTTCAGTGGTCGACACCCAGTTTGTACTTTTCAAACCTTCACCTTTATACAGATTCAATTGCTCTCCCAGTAATCCAATCTGGGAGCACAAAAAATTGGAACAATGTGAGTCAGCATGCGAGCTTCCTTTTGCAGTTCATCATGTCAATACTAGTGCATGTGTACTCAAAAATTGTACAGGCAACTCAGATAGTTGAAAGAATAATGAAGATATGTTCTATGAGAAACTAGGAACTACTTTAGTGAGAAACGATATGATGGAGGTGGAAAACAAAAATAGTAACCTTGTAGGTCCAATTAAATTTAGTTAGATTCACAGCTCCTTTGTTAAGTCCTTTGATTTCAACACTTGTTAGGCCTGCTCCTATCCATTCGTACTGTGGCCCTGCAGTCTGGAGGTAAAATACACTTAGAACCCAAGAAAGAAGAGTAGAAATCAAGGACAATCATACTGATAACTCTCTAGGTAATAAAGACGACTATCAAGCTAACGATTAAGTAAATATTACATAATAAATGAAAAATAGAAGCATAAACATATTGTTCAGGGGTCAAAGTGATGAAAGCTTACTTGCAAGCCGACAGTCATGCTAAGAAGAGCAATTTCATTCTTTCCAGCCTTTAAAGATATGGGAATCACAGATTCAAAGGAAAAGACCGATCCATTCCCAAATCCACTACCTGGATATATAGAAGAGTTAGTGAATAAGCACAAAAGCATTTGGCAAGAAAAAATTCTTTAGGTTCTAGTATAAAAGATACTGAAGAGCCGAAGAGGAGAGAAGGAAGATAAAGAGAACACTTTTGCAGATAATAACATTAAATTCTGGCCACAATGGGCACATTACTCAGATGCAGTTGTGTTATACTCCGTAATCTCATTAGTGACCTAACATATTATGTATGTGCTACTGATGTGACAGAAGCAGAAGAGACATTGATTTCTTATATAATGAAGCAAGCTGTGGAAGGATAATTCATGTATCACCTTGAAGTTTTTGATTCACAAAAACATGAAGAGCATGGCCCTTTGATTTTACAGATAGTACTGGACTGCTTCTGTCTTTCAAGAACTTCTCATCACTGTCAACATACAGGCTGCAAATAAAAAAAGAAGCGCCAGTTACACCTATGATTAAATGCAAGGGAAATGCCAATTATCAAGGACATTGGTCTTCTTATTGAATGTTTACAGAATCCAAACTTCCTAGAGAATCCATTTCTTGAAGGGTAAAATACATGTAAAACCAAGATGAAAGCAAACAAAAAAATTAGGAAAATGGCAGTGAACATGCCGAATTCAACCTTGTTGTGATCCAGAGGTAGTCAGTAGAATCTTTTGTTGTATTTATATGATCAACAAAACCTGTCATATTGAATTCAGGTGTTGCCCATATTCCAGGTTTTTCAACAAACACTTTCCATTGAAGAGCTTTCAAGTCTTTGCTAGGTGGCACCACTGATGGCCTGAGATTCTCAGGCACCATATCAACCACAGAAGCCTGGGATCCAACCTGATGAAAAAGGCAGTAAGTTTGAATGCTGCATAGGGCAATATTGCACAGCAAAGTGCATGCAATCCTCTTTGCTTTAATTTGATCCCACAACTGTGAAACACTGATAGGTTTTGATTCCCTTCTCAATTACTTATAACAGGTCCTGGTAGCCAGGAAGCAATTGCCACAATAAAGAAAAAACCAAAGGAGGCTTTTTTAACATGATCCTTGGGGCCAATTTTGAACAGTTTGATATTAATACATATCCCCTCCATCGTTTCACTACAGGGAGATTGACATGTAGATTAAGAATAATGGATAGAGAAAGAAAATTTGGAAATGGAGAGGGAGATAATAAGGAAAGTGTGTGGATGCAGAGACAAGTAAGAGAAAATTAACTTGAAAAGACAAATGTGAAATAATTTGAAGACATTCAGACATTGGACATCCATAAGGCAATTTGTGAAATCTATTCAAGGACAGAAGCATGTTACAACGTACAAGGATTTACAAACATATAATGTCAGATTGGAAAATACATTTTATGTAGCTTAAAAGCACCGCCAATTATTTTCCAAAGAGCACTACTGTTTACTACATTAGCCAATAGTAAAGACGAGTTAATTTTTGTTCTGTCATGGTTTATAAAGATTTTGCTGGACATAGAGTAAAATAGTATACTGAAACACTGAGAGTTCAATAGTCTCAATGATAAACAATGATCAGGGGGATAAAGAACCTTAAATGCGGAAACTGACCTTGGCAGTGTTATACACTACATTTTTGCAGTCTGGCAAGATGCTAACTGACCATGCTGGCAGATGGTATGTCTTGTTTCTGAATTTCACAACTGTATCAGTTTTGTTGTCCATATTGGCAAGGAAGGCTGCACAAACTCCAGATGAGTCTGTAAATACATTGGCCTGCATAGTGGTGCTAAATTAAGAGCTAGATAGATATCATACTAATGCAAAATGCAAACAGAAAGAAATGCAAAATTGCAAATGCTTTCTGAGATGCCTATGGGCAGCAACTGGTCTAATCTAGTAATCTTTATAACAGGCATACATTATAATAACACAAAGATGTAACTTGAAAGCAGCTTTAAGGAAGATTTTCTCAATCTCACAGAGCTCTTTGTGTAACATTGCGAATGTTTCATTGCACTTATTTCCATTATCTATTAAAGAATGAATTGTCATACTACATTATCTCTTCAGTTTAGTTGTACAGAGGTCAAAAATTAGAGTCAATATGCGAATGTCACATTAAGTCTTGAGAGACAAAATAAAGCCAACCTTTATAAATTGACGGACAACTCCAAGACTTTTAAATTATATCACTAGCAAGAAAACTGAGGTACCAAAGAAGAAAAATAGTCACCTCTTGTTGAGGACCAAGAGAAACATTAGTCCTCTCTCCAGTAATCAGTGCATTCTCACACAACTTCAATGCTCCATGAAGTTCCTTGAGATGTCCCCACTTAGGAAGCCTTGGTAAACCTGGAAGAAAAAAAGTAAAGAGGTTAATCATGTAAAGCTCATCTTTCTACTTTCTTCCTAGCCATCAGAAGCACTAAAGATAATATAAAGGATGCAAGAGCATCTTCCATTTTGATTTATCTCATAAAATTGACTATAACTGAAAGATGTTCAGGATGAACATTGGAAAAGCAATGGAGTAAAATACCATATTCATCAATTGGTGCATCATAATCATAACTTGTTGTAATAAATGGTCCACCAGCAGTGCGACCAAAATTTGTTCCGCCATGATACTGAATCAGAAATTATAGCGCACACAAAAAAAAATATTGTTAAAGAAGACAAAAGAGGAAAAAAATATCTAATGCCTTTCCAACTTCCTTTCTCTTCCTTTCAAAAAAATAAAAAACCTTCCTTTCTCTTTTGTACCTTCTCATTCCTTTGAATCTCTGGCCTTTTTTTTTTTTTTTTTTTTTTTTTAATTCTATGTCAATCTCTGTATCAATTGTTAGAATCATAGTACCTAACTAGAGTTACTCGACAATGGCCATATACAGTAAATCAGTAACACAGAGATTGGGTAAACTAACCATGTAATAGTTGTGTACACTGCCACCCTTCTGAAAAAAACGAGCAACAGCATAAGCAACATCTTCGACAGGTCTGTGAGGATCCACGTCGCCAAATGTTTTGAACCTGGAGCAGAAGTCAAATAGTCTGTTCAATCATGAACTTATTTATAACGAGATGCTTAAAAATCTAAAAACTTGGAAAGCTCAAGATCTTGAAAGGCAACTCAAAAAACATGTTAGCAAAGTTACCATCCAGGCCAGTTCTCAGTCCAAATCTTCGGACTTTTAGAAGAACTTGGAGTAAAGTCGTCACAGTAGAATCCATTACAAGTATTTATCTGCAAATAATTAGCATGGTCACATAAACTATGGCTCATTGATGATTGATTTCTGTTAAGTTCCTAAAAAATTCATTAAACAAGACAAAAAACCGCAAGCATATGAATGGGAAACCTGTGTAAACTTAATGTAATGGTATTAAAGCATACAATTTCTACCACAAGCAAGAAACATCCTTTACACAAGTTGACCTATATAATTCTCCCGAAAAGGAGAATGTTTTACTCGCAACATTTACATAATCAGTTAATAAAAAATAAAAAAAATAATAGTAATGGTTATTCATAAAATAAAATAAAGAAAGGGTGAGACATCTCTCTGCTTATTCCTTTTTTGTTTTTTGGAAAGGAGAGGGACAAAAGAAGATATAGAAAGTCAGAAACACCTCAACTGAAGCAGCACCTTTCATATTATTATTTCTGAAAGGAAGTAGTGATAGATCCTGGAGTTTCAGTTATCATTAAAAACAATCAAGAAATCCAATAATGAGCCATGTATATAGGATGTGATGGAAGAGGAAATCAGCTTGGGGCTCAACAGAACCACCCACAATGCCCAAAGGGATGATTAGATCTAGACACTATAACACAACATAATAAGCAGACACAGATGGATGGACAGACATGAAACACAACTAGACAAGATCAGCAAAATAGTTCAAGAAGTAGTTATATGTTTGCAGCTATGTCACATGTGAAGGTTTAGATAATAAACCTTTCCGAGCAAAATACATGGGAAGAAAAGAAATCACAGAATTCACACATGGAAAATGAACCTGCATATCCAAATATTCTCACCACAGGATCAGGTGTATCCCACTGCTGGCACATTATCCAAGGCACACCTATGTTCTGAGAAAGGGCCATATTAGCAGCCCACAAGGCATATTTCTTCCCTCCATCTCCATATGATTGTTCATAATAACCATATTCATTTTCTACCTACAAGAAAAAAGAAAAATAATACCAAGTATTAAATGAATACTCTAATTGTATGAATTGACATTACAAGAAGGAAAACAAAACCAATAGAGCCACAAAGAACTTATAAAACAAAAGCAAAAAGTGCTCAAATGCAAGACAGCACTATATATAACAGAATTTTTGTAGAACAGAACCAACTCACTACCAGAAGTGCTCTATAATCCTATATCACTTAACTTCTCAAATATACAAATGCTTTGTAAGAACAGAAAAATATAGCTTTTGAACTAAGTTCTGCTTTACTTGCTACTTCTAACACTTCCACATTTTGCTATGCAGTGCAACATCCATTTCAGGACTTGCTTAAACAATATTTAATTTGAATGTACCTGAGCCATGATGATCGGACCTCCTTGTGATGCAAAAAGCTTCTCCTTCTTCATCAGGTCCACTATGTATGTCGTGAACTTCTTCATGTAATACTGCATAGGACAACCACCAACACAGAAAAGTTAAAGATTCATGCTAAACATTTTGGCAATTGAATAGGTTTCTTCCATTATAAATCTAAATTTATTGCATATAAGGTTGGCGACCCTGAAGGAAGAGATAATTCAGTACCTTCCATTGCTCATTGTCAGTCCTAAATACAGTTCCAGGTACATAGTGCAGCCAAACAGGAACCCCTCTGCAAAGAGACACATTGCGTTTTTTCACACAATCATATAAACATCCAAAGTTCCTCAAAAAAAGAAAAATATAAACATCCAAAGATTGTGAGCAATATCATCCTAATTTCCCAAATATATTGAATAAAGATTCCTGAAAACAACAACCATACCCAAAATTCCACTCTGCTGCAACAAAGGGTCCAATACGAAGCATCATATACATCCCAGCCTGCTGCACCGTCTTCACAAACTTAACTAGATCATACCGCCCCTCAAAATAGTACTATAAGATCACCAACCATAATCAACAGCACAAGTTGGCAGATTAGCAAAAAGTATTACAGAAAAGGAAATAACTAACACAAATTTTCACATTTTTCTAACTCACATTGTCAGGAGACAATTCGTGGCCGTTCCAAAATACATATGATTCAATGACATTGGCACCACCTTCCTTTGCCAGCTGAATTAAACCTGGCCACATCTACATTTTTCCAAAATACTCAAATCAACAACAAAACAAGGTTTCACATTGCAAATCACAGCAAAGCTTTAACATGAACATAATATTACAGTCCAGTCTCCAGATCATGACACTAAATCAACATGAAGTATTAAACTGACAGTGTAATATACAACAATTTAACAAGTATCAAGTAGCAGTATAACAAAAACAACAACAACAACAACAAAGCCTTAGTTCCAAAATAATTTGAGGTCAGCTAACATTGTCCGATATAGATAATGGGACATTTAAAGATAATCCGTTGAAAGAGTTTGAGAATGTCAGTGTAATATACAACATTGTAACAAATACCAAGTAGCAGTATAACCATAATTTAAAATTCCCACTTGGGCATAAACCCCCCAAAAATTTACAAGTATTAAATGATTATTCCCTGATTATTACTAAGCAAGCAACCACATACACAAACAAAACCAATATAACATAAACACGATTACACGAAACGCAAATTCTTGTATAAGACGGTCCAATAGTCACCACTAGGTATAATATAAAATGAGTAAGAGATAATAGAGAGAAAAATACTAACAGCAGGGACACTACGAGGGTAGTGAATAGCAGTAGAAATAAGAAGCTTCCTTTGTCCATCAATTATGAAAGAACGACTATCATATGAAACATTACTACCATACCCAACTGTTAATTGCAGAAACAATGCCAAAACCAAGCAATGTATTGAAATTAAACTAAACCCCATGTTTTCTTTGTAAGAAATTTCTACAGAAAGTGCAAAAATTCAGCTTAGAACTCCATTTATTTTTAGTGTAAATCAAATGAAAAGAATCAAGCTTTTTAAAAGGATTTGGGGTTTTTCTTACAAATATTTTTAGCTCAAAAAAATCAAGATTTTTTAACAGCTGGAGTATACTAAATTTGTGATGAATTAGTTTTGGAGTAGATGGGCATTCAACTGCTTGACCAATTGATTGCTGTCTTTTGCAATTTATAGGGGTATGTGTAAGAGAGAGAAAGAGAGCAAGCTTTACTTATCTTGAAATAAAGACATAAACTTTGAATAAATTACGACCCAAAAATGCAGATTTCAGACATAAGATACAATTAATTACTGATCAGTACTGTAATAAGTTGATCACTCAACAGAAAACACATGGAGTGACCGAGTAAGTAATTGGGTATTACAATCTTGTCCGTACTAGTCATTACTTAAATAACAAAGTGTATACTTGAATTTTTTTAATTGAACTATCGCCTAGCCACCTAGGCATGGTACGGGGCTGGTCGAACTTTGCGTATGCGTGTTGTGCTTTCGTGTTGACGGACTCACAGGCGCACACAACTCACTACCTTCATGTTGTGTCATGCCGTGTCTTCTATTTTAGAGGGATTACTAATATTAGGTCTGTTCACGGATCGAATATCAAAAATTGGTATTCAAATCTGATTTGAAAATTTTGGATATCGTATCCAAAATTTTCGGATCGGATGCTTCGATTATCCATTATCCAATATTAAGATTGTGATTACTTTCTAAAGTTCACTAATTTTAGCTTTTTTATCGCTAAGTTGTACAACATATTTTAACAAAATAGTAGTCTTTATGCAATAAATATTATCATCAAATATATTAAGAATATTAAAATAAGTTAATAATACAGGTCAGTTTTATATGAACAATTTAAAAAAATTATATATATTTCACTATTTTAGTCTTTATATTTCGGATATCTGAAATTTTGAAAATCAATATCCAAATCCGCATTCGATATCCGCTATCCGATCTGAAATGAAAACTCAGATCGGATATCCAAAAATTTGCACCGGTTACAAATCGAAATATTGAATTTTCGAATTCTCGGATAATTTTATACGGCCCCTAACTAACATACTTAGTAGGTAAATTTCTTACTTTGTTGAAACACCCTCCATTACCCAAAAATTTGATCCAAGTATAGCTCGTGGTCCAACATATAAAAATACCTACCGCAACCAATATTCTAAAACCACATCAAGTCGTGCCGCGGCCGAACTGGCTTGTCTTTCTGGTACATGTGGTTGGATCCAAATGCTAAAAGTGAAACAGAAATTGCTTGAGATCCTAATCCTAAAATAGAAGCTGCTTGAAATCCAGCAATTCTATTGTTTACAGTTTGATACTACTTATTAGACTGATTTATTGTAGGTTAAACAGGTGACATTATTAGCAAAAACCGTGACACAATTAATTAATCAAATAAAAAGACATTAAATTTGTATCAGAATCTCATTCTTAATTCCTCCTTAAAGTTATCAAATTAATAACCAAGATTATCTGAATTATTATGCAGAACAGTACAAGTAAAATATACAATGTCAGACCAATATCTTCCATTTATTTTCCATCAAAAATATCATCATTTTGGGTTAAATATATTAAATTTCAAGGTCCCATGCACATAAAACTGAAAGACAAATCCCATGTCTTATGTTGGGCGGTGATTACTCAATTCAAGGAGCAAAATCTGGTCACCAGAAAGTGGGCCCTCTCTTGGATCTATGCATATGGGTGGATTGGGCTGATCACAGTCCAACAAGGACAACTATTGTGGGCCGGGTTTCAGCATGTGTATACTTAAATGTAACCTAGATCTGGTCTGACAAGAGTTTGCATACTGAAACTCTACAAATAATTAACTTCAGTTCTCGAATATGTGAGAGCACGGTTTCCAATATTCTTGACGTAAAAGATGTTCGGATATGAGATTACAATTTTTAGGAGCCCAAAATCAGTATTGTTAATATATAAAATTTGAGGGACATTATGACGTCTTTATTTCAGAGTAAATCAAACTGAAGCAGTTACAAAAAAAGTTTAAGTTAAATCAGATTAGAAAATACAAAAGTTGATGTAAATTATGACTCTTATTAATCATCAGAAGCACAGTGTTTACATTCTGAGTAGTTCAATGTTATCCATAGCGATATAGTAAGCTATCAATCACTTGTAACTATGATGTATGCATAATTAATCATGATTTTTTTTTTTTTTCCCTGTAAAATAAAGAAAAGAATAAATAAAGAATCATGTATCATGTATGAATCCCTTCTGTTCTCATCAGGTATTTAATGTCACTTTTAACATTATCAACATTGCTGTCGCACTTGCTAGCTAGTAGTCCAGGATATGGTGTTGACAGAAACTTGAAGAGGATTTCCACCAACTCCCTCAAACAGAACCAGAAGATTTTCTGACGGTTTCAGAAAGGATCGGGGAATGTGGTACCTAGGATAGAATCAAGCATATCTTCAGTTGACTCGTACCAAAATGACAAATGAGACTCTAGTACAACCAGCAGAATGTTTTACTGCACGATCTGATTATCTTATCATTTTATATCTATGGTAAATATGTATTTATGCTGAATTATTGATGAGAAGCATTTGTCAGAGAAGTTCATTTTCTGTCTGAAATAACTTTATTAAGCTTGGCAATAAACTTGTTCCCAGGCTTTCTATCAGTTTTCATCAGTATATTCATAAAGGAAAAATGGACAAATGGCTTGTAGAAATGGCTACTTACATTGTTTGAGAAGGTTTTCCGTCAGGGGTAAGCAAGGACGCCCAATAACGACCAATACTTTGTCCATTGATCCAGGCTTCGCCTTTTCCCATACTGCTTAAGTCTAAGGCCACTGGATCTTCTCCGTCAGGTGCATCAAATGTGGTCTACCAAATTTCAAACCGTAAAATTGTGTTCAGTATGCATCGTAATATAAACTCTATAATTAAGACAAGGGACTTAAATTACTGTAAGCTTGAGTAGGCTACAAAATTTTACCTTATACCAAGTGAGAGGCTTTGCAGTAGAAGGTTCAAGTCCACCCCAAACCACTTTGCCAAGGTTCTGTTCTTTATAAATTTGTGAATCTTCTCCCAATAATCCAACCTGAGGACAATGTTATCATTGTAAGTTGAATGTATTGGAAACTTGAAATAGATATCTTGACAACTAGCAAAGGCCAACTACAAAGCCAAGAAGAATCAAACCTTGTATCCCCACGTATAATTCACTGCTAAATCGTAGGAATCATCTCCGTTGCATCTTACAGCCACTTCACGCAGTCCAGAAAACTTCCTTTCAAGATATGCTCCCGAATCCTTAAATACAAAGCAATAGAACAAAATTAATATGATCACAATGCAATCAATGCAAGGCAATGGTGTAAAATGAAACTCTTAACAAGTATTTATACCGGTAATCCCACCATCACACTTAGCACAGAAATATTGTTCAGTCCATTATCCAACTTAATAGGGGTTTCAAGTGAGAAATTCTTGACACCACGACTTCCATGTGCACCTCCTGTTTTTGTAATAGGTAAGAGAAAGAAACCAATAAGTATGTCAAGCCACTGCATAACATTATCCTTGGACACTGATAAATCAATGCTAATGACATACCAGCATATGCGCCATTCACAAAAGCATAAGCAACATGTGCAAAAGACCGAAGATGAAGTACTGGTTCACTACAAGAAGGATTAGCTTCAAAACTGCCAAAGCAACCCCAAAAAATTAGAAGGTTAAATGCATAAACTCAAGATTTGTTATTTTCACCTAAATTCTCCTCATCTAAGCTTATAATAATATATAGCCTTATTCTGAAATTTATTTTAGTTGAAAATTGAATTTGGTAACTCTAATCAAAACTTATATTTGCTAAAACTTCTTTCAAAGGTGAAAAGAACAAATCATGGACATCTTGTTTTAATAGTTCAAGGCAAAAATCAATTTACCTTAGAGTGTACCAGAGATAATCAGATTCATCTTTTGTTACATTCATTTGTTCTAGTAAAGCACCTGCCTTCAAAGAAGTGTCAGAGAAGTTCGGTATCACCTCATTTAATAACTCCCATTTAGTAGCTGAGCTGATAGCTAGTTCTGATCTTGCATTTCTCTTTCCACTTTCAGTTGTTATCTGCGAAATGAGATATATTTAGAGCATAAACAAATCATAGCTCAATTTTTCTGTGATTGCAAGCTAAGTGCTAAAATCTAGAGCTATGATTACCGTTGCTGTGTTAAAAGTTATATTCACACAATCTGGAAGGATGCTAATTGACTTCGGAGGAAGTTGATATGATCTGTTCTGAAACACAACATTTGCGCTATTTCTTGTGTCATTGTTTATAAAAAAGGCAGCACAACCTCCACTCTCTTCTTGGAAAACATAAGCCTGGTTATCAAAATCATGATCATCAATGAGATGTATATAAAAGTAATCATTTTCTCTGACAACTGAATCGAATGAAAACAGTCAATTACCGCCTGTAGTTGACCCAAGGAAAGATAGGACTTCTTTCCCTCAAGCAAGGTTTTTGAGCAAGCTTTTATCACCATATGAAGCTCCCGAAGGTGGCCCCATTTAGGTTGCCTTATAAGACCTATATATTGAGAGAGAAAAGAAATCAAATCATGTAATGTAAGTTTATAATTTTATATACATACATATGTGAACCAAACCTGGCAGTACTCACCATATTCATCAAGGGGTGCTTCATCATAGTAACTGGTGGTAACATAAGAAGTGCCTGTTCTTCCAAAATTTGTTCCTCCGTGATACTATATACATGTCAGAAACCAGAAGTAAATCTGAGATAACTAAGTATATAATGGAAAGTGTTCGAAAGGATTAAGAAATAGGGTATCTGAAATGTGACAGCTTAAATAACTACATACCATGTAGTAATTCACGTAACATCCATTATTTTTTGCAAGAAAAAGTGAGACGTGAAATGCAATCTCTTCCGCAGACCTTATGTATGGCTTCCCACCAAAGACTTGGAAGCTGCGTCGAACAATTATAAGGTTACCAGAGAAGTAGATTTCTGATACACATAAATGTAAATACTACGCTTTAAACTCTTGTTATTTTACTTAGTGTGACATATGTGCTTCATATTCTTTCATATACCTATCTGAGCTTATTTGCCTTGTTAATCTTGATGTAGAATATATTTGCCCTTATCTGAACTTATATTAGTTGTAAATTGAAATTAGGTTACTGATTCAGGTGTCTAAAGATGACTCGATGTGTAACTATAATTTGTTGAGGCTTCAAAGCAGAGTTTCAATGACAGGTACTGTATGAAATTATGCGGTTAACAACATAAGAAAATGCCCATAACATCAACTACTTTTAATACCAAAAGGAAGCTAAGCACCATAACAGCTAATTGCTTAAGTTAAATCATACATACAAAGATGTCCAGTTTTCCGTCCACATTGATGGTTTATTTGGGGAGTTAGGTCCAGCAAAAGTTTCCCCGCATTTCATCCCATTGCACGTATTAATCTGTTGAGTATAAATCGTAACTAAAGACATCAAACAAATTATAAGAACAACAAGATCAAATTCTTCTGTTTATTATAAATAGATATGACAAGAAAGATTGGCGATGAAGGAACTAACCACAGGATCAGGAGCATCATTTTGCTTACACATCACCCAAGGAACACCAGTCTGAAGCCCAACGGCCATACCAGCAGCCCAGCGTACATAAGAATGCCCTTTTTTCCCAAAAGCTGCTTCAACGTTTTGATATTCATTTTCAATCTATTTCAAGATTCACAATTTGTAAAGTTACAAGTTACTTCAAGAAAATTCTATCATCAGAAATGCTAGTAACTCATCTTACCTGTGACAATATTATAGGGCCTCCTTGTGAAGCATATAACTCCTCTGATTTCATGAGGTTTACTAGTTTTGTAGTAAAATTTTGCATATAGAACTACAAAAAGAAAAACACTGTGAGCAAAACTCCAAGACAATAACACATATCAAAGTAATTATATCAGACAAAATCCAAGAAACAGAACAACTAAGTACTTTGAACGGTCCGTTGTCTGTTCTATATGTAATGCCAGGGATGTCATGCAGCCAAAATGGAAAACCCCTGCAAAATCACAATAGTGCATCCATTAGACCATTACTAGCAAGAGTTGCATAAGAATCATTCCAGAAAACATATAATATCTCATTACCAAAGGCAGGATAATTGGGCTTTAGAAATAAAATATACAAACAAACAAATAATGCAAATGTGTAAATACAGACCCATAACTCCATTCACTTTCGATGTAAGGACCGATCCTGAGGCAGACATACAACCCTTGTGCTTGAACTTCCTTGATGAACTTTACTAAATCATACCTCCCAGTGAAATCATACTACACAAAACAAGATAAAAAGAACATCGATACGACTATATGAGGATAGAAGAAAGGGAGAATATTACCATGAATGTGGGGTAAAAGAACATACATACCTGACCTGGTCGGGGTTCATGGACGCTCCAAAACACATAAGTTTGAATTACATCCAGTCCACCGTCTTTGGCCTTGGCTATTAACGATGGCCACATCTGAAAATCATTCAAAAGGTCAGCAAGTCACTAGGTGTACCTTCATCATTTACTGCCCTTATAAGATTATAGACGAATACATGACTAATTCATGAGAACAACGATGAGATATTCATATTTTTAGATTGTTGAGTCTTCATATAACAATAATACAGTGTAGGAAATACCTTATTGTCTCAAATGTTCGAGGTAATGTACAAGCATTTGCGTCTATTTCTCCAATCATTACTTTTGCCATATTATGATTAATGTGTTCTAAACTCCGCTCCTACATGAATTAGAGACATGTACATAGAGAATCCATTTTCTTAACATGTGTTACTTACCATGACTCGATCAATCAGAGTAAGAAATTGAAATCACCCTAAACCCTCTCCTCGCGGGAGATTAATTCCTAATAAAATAAACGAATTTCCTCGCCCCACAATTATTATTATTTTTTTTTAAATGCACATGAGAAACAACGAGAAAAAACTAAGGAGGAACAAAGCACGACAAGGCCACACCAACTACATCATATGTAAAATACGACCTAAAGCTAAAAGGGGCTTCAATTATAGATACATTATGATGTAAGGGTACTTCAATTGATCGTCGTATTCATACCGGGTACAAGCGTGTATTATATGAATATTGGATAATTTGTTATACTTTATGCTCCGTATTATTTATACAGTATATTTTTAATAAACTTTGTTTCCAATTAATTCATTTTAATAATTTTTTAATAAAGATTGAATTATTTGAGTATTTTATATTTAGAATATATTTTTCATCAAACTTCCTAACACAAATTTTTATATGTGGTTGGCCAAACCGTGTGGCTGGAGTTACTTATAGGGGTTACTTATTTCGGGGTTACTTATTTCAGGTTACTCAATCAGTCAGGGATTACTTAGTCGGTTAGCGTGTTTTTTGTGTGAGAGTAACCCCTAACCGACCGAGTAACCCCTGAATAAGTAACCCTTGACTAACCGAGTAACCCATGAATAGCTAACCTTGGAATAAGTAACCTCGGCCACACGGTGTAGCCAGCCATACAGAAAAAGCACCAAACTTTATAAGTATTATTTAAAAACTACACCGTAACCGTGTGTCTCCATAACTTTTGTCTTTTGAGAAAACAAAAAGGATTAAAGTTTTGGTTTGTTATATTTTCTAAACAAAATATTATGTACTTATTTGTTCATATTTCATTTTAAGATGTCCCTTATAGATTGGTAATATTGCCCTAAAAAATTTCACCCTTTTTGTCAATCTGGCTCCCATGGATATTAAGCTATTTAGGTCTTCATTCAAAATGGACTCTATATTACCATACACTAAGTATTATGTGGCTTAATGCTTAATAATGAGGTTTTGTGTACGCTATGGCAGATGTTCAAATTTTCATTACCTTATTTGTAATTTTGCATTACTTGTATAGAATTACAAGGCCAACTATGGCCTAATTATTTTCTTTATTAACTTTAATTATGAAACCTGCATTTCACAACTCCATAACTAAATTAAGAATTACAAGCTCAAAGTTGAAACTTCTAAGTTCTACAGAAAGACAGCTAATTGAAGTATTTGAGTTCTGACATAAATAGCTTTATTTTTGAATCCAACAATAGTTTAAGACTGTTACCTTTAAAAAAGAGTAATGCTGATAAAGATATGATGAAAATCGTGTACCTTTCCATGTGTTTTAAAAGTGATGAAAGTTAGAGTGTTATCTCTCTTTTTGGGGTGTTATAAATCACATGATTTATAAGTGTAACACTTATTAAAACACGGAGAGAGTAACAACAAATTAACATAAGATGAAACAATTTCCTTATAAGATACGGAGTATGTACTATCATATAAATTCTAAAGCTATGATTCACTGTAGTAAAAAAATTCTTATTGAACTCCAATAACAACAAATTAACATAAAATAAGAAACAATTTTCTTACATGATACGGAGTATATACCATCATATAAATCCTAAAGCTATGATTCACTGTACTAAATCCTATCAATATTAGCATATGATCATATCCTCACATAAAAAATCCTATAGATAATAATCTTCTAATTAATATCAATATGGATTTTCTGATATTAATTACATCAAACATCTATCTCTAATGTAGTATGAGAATCATTAGAGGTGTTACGTAAATCACAAGATGATATCTATCATTTCTTACATACACGCGGTCACCCAGAAGAGGAAGCCATTGTATTCTGGATGAAAACTGAGAATATCAACTAATTAATTTATTTAAACAAGTAGCCGGATATTTTTATTGTATAATGTACATGTTTATTTGTTTAATCCTGTATTATTTACTTATACCAAAGCATTAGAAATTCATTTAAATTCAACTAACTCATTCAAACCAAACAGAAATCACACAAGAACTTGTCTGAAAAATTCTCATTGGAACTCCATTAACAACAAGTTGACACCTTTGTCAATACCAAAATATTCTTAAATTCATAACCTACATACATAAGGTAAAACAATGTATAGTCGAGTATCTGACACGGGTACTTTAAGATAGAAAAAAGCCGAGAATACTAACCTCGGGGGTGCTTCGAGGATAATGAATGGAACCGGAGAAGAGGAGCTTCCTCTGCCCACCAACAATGAGAGACCTTCCATCATACGTTACTTCACCACCTTCTTCATCACTGCCTCTACTTGTAACAATCACCATTGCCATTACTCCCATTAAAACCCAATATCTTCCCTCCATTTTTTTTAAATTACTCTCTTTTAATTTGATTTATCTGTCTTAATTCTTCACAAGAATGAACAATGCTGCATTACTATTTCAAGGAATTTATTGGCAGCACCTCAAACTAAGAGCATATAAGAAGACTCAACACAAATGAAGAACTTTAAAGCTACTACTTTTATAACAAGAAACAACAAAATAAGCTTGAACAAAATATATCCAACTTATTCCTTGTTTTTGGTCAGTTTATAAAGCTGAGTAAATTGTCTAAATTAACCTCACAACTCACGGGTTTTGTTTTAAAATTTTCACTGTCATTATTATAGCTCCTAATATGTTTGAAATTTTGGGCGGTCATGACTTTTAAGATTGTGACATACAACTATACTAGTACACAACTAATGTGTTTTGTTTCTTTTGTTTCTTTAAATTTGCCTTGAATACTCCGTATTTGATATGTTTTGACTTTTAGTATAACTTGATATCTCAATAATAATTTAAAAAAATCTTACAATATCTTACTTATTATTAACATTTTAAATAATTTTATATAATAATAAAAAAGATGGTTAAAGTTGTACTCCATATTAAAAATCAAAGCATATCAGTCTGCCAGATATTCAAGAATGAAAATAGTATTGTATGAGTTTATTACTTTCACGTAACTACATTTGGTTTCCCCAATTTCTGCTACTATGCTAGTATCCCTACTATTAACCGAAAATTTAAAAAGCACATGCATCTATACGACTACACCTCTGTTGAGCAATGGGACAAACAAAAGGGGTAGAGGGAGAGTACTTATGGAACAAAATTAATTTGCTAGGTTCATTCTTCGTTATAAATCTTATGGGGTTAAATTAGGAACTTTACTATTTAATATCATCCCTTTTATATTTAGTTTTGTTTTCCTTATTTAGAGGTTGGAAATTTAGTGGGAAACTTGGCTGAAATTCCACGGTTTTCCCTTCTAAGCTTAGGGTATAAGAGAGGAAGTTATAAATGATCCGTGAAAGGAATAATTGAGTCACTTTTGATGGCCGTTTGATCACATCATTTCAATGCGGTTTGTTATGTGCATGATTATATGTTTGTAGCTTTAAATGTGGATGTATGTGCTTGCTTACTAGAAGTGTGCGTATATATAGGTAATAGGATATTTTCTATATGAAGTATGATCCTATTCATGCACTAGGATATAATATTGACCGAGGAAAATAAGTAGATCAATGAACTAGGGAGCAATTTATATGTTGATTATGTTGAGTGTATCTTTTACGTGTTGGCATTTGATCAATAGATGTCACTTAAAGGAGTTCACACACTAAGAACATTGTCTTTATATATACATATTTTATTCTGTAGTTCACAATTTAAATGGTTTAATTATGATTAACCAACAATAATGATATTCATAGATCAAGTTGTCCATTCTCGACTCAATTCGATCCGAACCTGATATGAAGTGACTGAGAGAGAACCTGAGCCCGATCATCTGACTCGACCCGAACTCCGCAATTTTATATTATGTTTATTCACTTTTTGAGATTTTTTTTAGCATGACCCGAAATCTAATCCGAACCCGACTCATTAACCTAAATTGACATATCATATTCATATACAATTTTATTCCAAGGGCTCGTGTTTATATATAGTTAATTATCATTAGTAATGAATTTAACAAGTATAGGCATAGACAATATATTGTAAATTTTCGAGATCATACATTTAATCTTCTTGTAGAAATAGACCATACTTTTTGTACTTAGTAAAGATTATTCTTAGAGAATCATATCTATGTTATCAACAAGACAACAACCTACCTCGATCAACAACGTAACAACAACAACAACAAAAGTTATACTTCGTATTATCAAACAAAAAAAATATTATACAAGTATATATAAATGAACCTTTACAGATTAAATGAGGTGGCAAAAACAGATATTTATGTCATTAATACTAGTGTATAAAATGATTAAATGGACATTTGCACATGTATAAAGAAAGATGTGTGTGTAAAAAAGTAACTACTCCGTATAATAAGTCAACTACAGATTTACAAATAATTATACAATTATTGGTCATCGATAAATTAGTAAGTTTCAACAGTATAACATTGACCTATTAGCTAACATACATATGAGTCCAAGCTGCAGGTGAATTAGTTGAACCACCACGCCAAGTAGAAGAAGTGTGCCAAGTGCGTACGGTGCCGTAGAAACTCGATGTGTCAATATTAAATAAGAGTATCATGTGGTTGGCCGGTATGGTGTGTAATTATGTATGGCTTTGAGCTCTAATTAATATTAATCCATGCACAAATGGCTTTGAGCTCTAATTAATATCCATAATGGGAATTTCGATTATATATGTTTAACCTCACAACATTGACACTAACTCATTGAAAGACAAATGACAAGAATCTATGTCAATTTGCCATTGCTCAACAAATGCTGAATTCAATGACATACTGATGTACCAATGCGTGATGCAAGGCAAATGAGCCAATTTGCTAGTATCAACGCGTCTAACATCGCTCATGACTCAACTCCCCCCACTTATCATTTGATTTAGATGCCTCAGCTCCCTCAACATGTTGAGCCATGCATGTAAAGCATCTTTGATCTGATCTTCCCCTTATAATTAGAGTGTCCAATTCACCGGATACATCAATATGTGGATATTATTTTTATATTGTAATACGTGTGCTAAATTTGAAACACTATTAATACCAACATTAGTATGAAGCATGTATCAATGTATCTACATATATATTCCTTCAATTTATTTTCTCTGTATTGGTTATTTTAATTCATCTTAATTTAACCTTTTTTTTTTTTGAAAGAATAACTCATCTTAACTTATTTTAACTTTCTTAACTTATTTTGTTTAATATTGTCAAATAAAATTAAATAACGATGAACAAACCCTAGAGTGTAGTAAGTGCACTATTACCACCGTTCACCTTTATTTTTTTTTTCGCATTTTCCCCACAACCCGTTTCTATAAGCTTTTTACAATTTAACTTCATTTTATTGACAAACTTAAATAACAACGTATCCTTCACCTTACAATATTTACCATCTTCATTCAACTTTTCTTTTTTTTTCTTACATCTACCCACATACTTGTATTTAATTATTTACCCAATACCCTCTTTTCAATTGACTAAATTTCAATTGAATACTAAAGGACGTAAATGCAAATACAGTGTAAGAACTACGTAGTATTCTATAGTACTCAGTGAGAAGAAAGGCCTACTGAATTAAAAGCTTCACAGAATCATAGGTCAACTTGGTCGGGATTAGTACGTGGTTATTGTTGGTGGTCAGCGCTGTGGTGGCTGTGTATCATCTCCTACACTCTCCACTATTATGTTTGCCGGTGAACTCAAGTTTCTCTATAATTTTTCTATAGAAATTATATAAGGTCAATGATAAGTCAATTTTTCTATAATAAAATATAAACCAACAACTAACAAGTATGCATATCTAGTCAATAATCCGTGTTGAAGAATGTCCGACAAATCCACAATATCTACGCTTCCGGTAATCAACCGCCAGATTCTCGCCGGATTCCACGGCGGTCGTAGGCGGCGAAATCCCCGACGGCCTGGTTATATTAAAGGAGAAACTAGGATAACTTGAATTCCGAGGTAATTTTTGTTTGATTCTGTATTTAGGAATTAGATAAGTTGGATGATTTGATTTTGTAAAAATTTATTTATGGATTGGGGAAATAAAACTGATAATTTTTGGAATATTTGTTGTTACACGAATTAAGAATTAAGAATACTCGTATTTTTTTCTGATAATTTTTGGAATATTTGTTGTTATAAGAGGAGTAGTCTGCTTGGTTTATAATTAGAATATATTGATTCCATCTTTCGATATGGAACACTTACTCACACATGTACCTAACACTACTAGAACCTACATTGTGTACCTGAGTCTCATTTGAATAGGCAAGCCAAAGAGTGATCAAATGTGCTAAAAAAAAGTTGTATAAGTGTTCGGGTCATTAGCAAAAATGTACTTTGATGATCATATTGCTAGCCGCTATGTATAGTCAATGTAATTTGAATAATTGGGAGTTCCTTGTTGTAACAAGAATCTACTAAGTCATAATTTGGTTGTATTTTAATCATGAATATTGAAAACTCCGTGTTACAACAAAGTTTACAAGCTTTTTTCAGTTTTCGGAAATTTGAATACTTTTGCAATTGTACCATATATAGATTTGTGTTCAGGTTTACGGGTTACAGGTTACAAACTTTCGGGTTATTTAGCTGTTCACCTTATTTTATTTGTATAAAGGCATGTTCTGTTCAGCTTAATTTCAGTTCAGTTGAGCTCAGCTCCAATCAGTTCAGTTCAATTCCTAATTTCTTTCTCTCTTAAACAATTCATTTCAGCTCTATTCAGTTCAATTCATTTCAGCCCCAATCAGTTCAGTTCAGTTGTTTTCAGTAAATCGAAACGGGCCCTTCATGTATGGATTGAAAGTTCTGTCTGTTTCTCATTAGTTAGTATGCTTTGGTCACTAAAAGATGATCATTTGATTTGGTTTGGGACAATTGCCTAGTTAATTTGATCATTGAACTATATAATTGAATTTCCGAGAATTGAACCTTCCATTTTATCTCCAGTGGTAAACTAGCTTTCAACCTGTCATTGCTTCTTTGTTACATATTTCACTTTCGCTACAGGGAAATGGCAGGACGAGATGGCAGTGGTGTGGATGTTATTTTGCCAAATTATATACTTGGTAAATCTACTGGCATTGTGTCATCTGGCAAGACGAGAACTTCAGAACATAAATTGACTGCGCATGTTGTTACCATCAAGCGATTGAACCGGCAGAAGATAAAAAATATGGAAATGGAAGAGAAAGGTAGCACCTATCTCTTACTGATTGTTCTCTCTGAACTTTCCTATTAACCAGGTCTTTTCGGCTGATATGTATATTCTTTCTCCCAAGCATGTTTTAGTATTTGATTTGTTTTTTTTATTGTCTATCTTTGATTTGAAACTTTGTTCCTTTACAAGTTATTGCTGATATAATGACATTTTTAAGGTTAGATGAATATGGGTGGGTATGGTTTCAAAAGCAATTTAACACCGGGTAAAATATTAGCTATTATCTGGTTGTGAACTCAATAAACATCGTTCCTCTTGCTATTTTTTTTCCGGCTAATTCTGGACCGGTTTAAGATGATGATGATATCATATTCTTTTGTCTGTTTTGTAGTGAGAAGAGAGGTGAATATTTTGAGATCATTCATGCACCCTCATATTATTCGAGTTTATGAAGTTGTTGAGACACCATCAGACTTTTATGATGTGATGGAGCATGCAAAGTGTGGAGAACTATTTGATTACATTGTGGAAAAGGGTAGGCTGGAAGAGGATGAAGCACTGAACTTTTTCCAACAGGTAAACTTCTTTCTACTTTTAGGCTGTGTTCTCTTAAATAACCATACTGGCATTTTATAAATGAAGCATAATATTTGAGGTTTATTTTGTCTCTGTTGCCATCCTGGGACCAGATAATATCAGGAGTAGAGTACTGTCATGAGAATATGGTTGTTCATCGAGACTTGAAGCCTGAGAACATTCTATTGGATTCACATCACAACGTAAAAATAGCAGATTTTGGTTTGAGCAACATAATGCGAGATGGTCACTTCCTAAAGACCAGTTGCGGAAGCCCAAACTATGCAGCTCCTGAGGTATGATGCTCTACAATTCTGCTGGAGAAGAATTGCAACTGTAATTACTTTGATCATTCTGACCTGATTGAGCCTATATTAATATATACCTATATATTGCTGAATAATCCTACAACACAGTTTACGATGGAGCATGAAAGGCAGTGACAAGATAAAACAGATATAAGCAACTTCACAAATTGTTAGTATTATACATTCCCTTCATCCGGAATTAGTAATCGCATTGTCTCAATCCTTTATACTTAAGAATTCACTATGATTTCACTGTTTATGTTGATAAGTATATTAGGTGACTCGTACTTCGTAGCTTTGTCCGCCCGATCGGGCGGACATTGCCCGGTCTGACCGGGCGGAAGAAGAAGAGGTGCCTGGCAAATTCGTTGAAGAAGCTGCTCTCGCGCCCGACCGGGCGAGCCTTCGCCCGACCGGGCGAGCCTTCGCCCGATCGGGCAGACCTTGCCCGGTCTAACCGGGCGGTGGGGGTTAGATACGTTGAAGCATTCGTATGGAGTTTTCTTCTCGCGCCCGATCGGGCAGACCTTGCCCGGTCTGACCGGGCGGAGAAGGAAAAATACGGAACGCGGATTTTACGATTTAAAGTTATCTTTTATGTTATCTTTTTGCCCAAGTATCTTTTATGTTAGGGATTAATATAAAAACTCCCAAATATGAGTATTAGGGTTAAGAGAGACAGAGTGAGAGCCGTTCTTGAGAAATACAAGAATCATCTTTGTAATCTTTGCAGTTTATAGTGAAATCATTCGATCTCGGTGCCCGTGGACGTAGCTATCACATCGATAGTGAACCACGTAAATTCTTGGTGTTGTTCTTATTGTTTGCATTGAATTTCTTTATTGTTTTCTTGTTTGTTTTCGACCTTTGCTTCCGCTGTCGCACAACAATTGGTATCAGAGCTCAGGTTCAATCCTTGGAGAGTTTCTTGAAGATAACAATGGCAGGAGATTCAACAATAAGAATTGAGAAGTTTACCGGGAAAAATAGTTTCGGGCTATGGCAAATTAAGATGAAGGCTCTGTTAAAACAACAGCAGATATGGCGTCCGTTGGCTCCAAAGAGTACTACTTCGGAGTCAGGAGACGGACCGACTGACTCGCAGTTAGAAGTTATGGAAGAGAAGGCACACTCTACCATATTACTTAGTCTTGATGATCAAATCATCACGGAGGTTGCTGATCAGGAAACGGCGGCTGGATTGTGGCTGAAGCTGGAGTCATTGTATATGACTAAGTCGTTGACCAACAAATTATTACTGAAACAGCGGTTGTTTAGCCTCCGGATGCAGTCAGGTACTTCCTTACGGGAACATCTAGAAAAACTTAACTCTATTTTGCTTGATTTACGTAATTTAGATGTTAAAATTGATGATGAGGATGCTGCGTTGATTTTACTTGTATCTCTACCGTCTAGCTTTGAGAATTTTGTAGAGTCTTTTGTTGTTGGTAAGGATTCTATAACCTTAGAAGAAGTGAAGGCAGCACTTCATACTAGGGAACTCAGAATGAAAGCTACGAGTGATAATGGGGATAATGGTAGTGGGTTATTTGTTAAGTCCGGAAAGTCTAAAAAGAATAAGGGGTTTAACAAGGGGAACAATGCTGGGTCGGGTGCTGGAAACGGCAAGGATGGATCTAGTAAAACTACTACTAAAACATGTTATTACTGTAAAGAACCGGGTCACTTTAGGAATAATTGTCCGGTGAGGAAAAACAAGTCCCAGGCTGCTGTAGTTGAAGAGAAACCGAATGAGAGCTATAATTCAGAGGAAGATTTAGCATTAGTCAGTTCTGCTAGGTCTGATGATTTATCTGATAACTGGGTTCTAGATTCGGGGTGTTCGTTCCATATGTGTCCACGTCGAGATTGGTTTGATACATATGAACCTCGCAATGGGGGTATGGTTATAGTCGGTAACAATGCTCCATGTAAGGTCACAGGTATTGGTTCCATGAGGTTGAGGACTGTTGATGGGCGGAGGTTAACTTTGACTAATGTACGGCATGTTCCTGCTTTAGGAAAGAATCTGATTTCATTGGGTACCCTGGATGAATTGGGGTACAATGGTGTGTTTTCAGATGGGGAGTTGTGTATTTTCAGAGGTTCTGAGTTGGTACTTAAGGGTATCAAAAGGAACACCCTCTATGTTTTTGAGGGTGTTACACTGCCTAGTTCTGCGGTTTGCGCATCTGTATCTCACCAGGAGATGACTAAGATTTGGCACATGAGGCTTGGTCATATGGGGGAGAAGGGGATGCAGCTATTGTCCAAGAGGGGTCTTCTATCCGGGGTCAAGGTTGCCAACCTTGAATTTTGTGAGCATTGTGTGTTTGGTAAGAAACACAGGTCAAAGTTCAGCAAGGGTGCTCACATTACTGATGCAGTGCTCGATTACATCCATTCAGATTGCTGGGGTCCATCTAGAGTTGAAGGTATGGGAGGTTACCACTATTTTGTGTCATTTGTTGATGACAAGTCCCGATACACATGGCTTAGGTTGCTTAAGTCAAAGGATGAGGCCTTCAAAGTTTTCAAGCAATGGAAAGCTTTGGTGGAAAATCGACAAGGAAGGAAGATCAAGAAGCTACGAACGGACAATGGGCTAGAGTTTTGCAAAGACGAGTTTAATCAGTTCTGTGCAGATGAGGGTATAGGTCGGCATCATACTGTCAGGAAGACACCACAGCAGAACGGTGTAGCAGAACGGGTTAATCAGACACTGCTAGAGAGAGTTCGATGCATGCTCTCTAATGCAGGGCTTGGGAGGAGGTACTGGAGTGAAGCTGTGTTAACAGCTTGTTATGTCATTAATAGGGGTCCTCATTCTGGAATTGATTCCAAAATTCCGTTTGAGATCTGGAGTGGTAAGTTGCCTAATTTTTCGAATTTGAAGATTTTTGGTTGTGTTGCTTATTATCATGTTATTGAGGGTAAGCTGGATCCACGAGCCAAGAAGGGGTGTTTTGTTGGGTACGGGGATGGTGTGAAGGGGTTTAGAATTTTTTCACCTTCGGAGGGTCGGGTCATTCTTAGTAGGGATGTTACTTTCGATGAAAACACCATGTATTCAATTAAAAATGCAGAGATTTCAGATTTGAGAAGGGAAGGAGACAATTTATTACAGACAGATGGGGTACTTGAGGTACATCAGTCTACCATTGCTGATTTACCTCGGGTACAATATATTGATGATGATGCTGATGTTCCAGTGCCGGGTACTCCTGAACCTGAGATTACTCCTACTCATTCTAACTCTGGGGATGAGGTGGAGCAATCTAATCAGGGGTCATCTAGTCAACCTGACACCATTCTTGAGATGCCTAAACGAGTTATCAAGAAGCCTGTTAGATTGATTGAAGAGATGGAGGGAAGAAATTGCTGTGTTGATGCGATGACAGGTTATGCATTGAGTGTAGCTGATGATGTAGAGTCATTTGAACCTGCCACATATAAACAAGCAATTAGTTGTAGTGAGTCTGCGCAATGGCTTGCCGCAATGGGTGAAGAGATGCAGTCCCTTTACAAGAACAGAGTGTGGGAACTGGTAAAGGTACCGGAAGGGAGGAAGCTTGTGGGTTGTAAATGGATTTACAAGAAGAAAGAAGGGTTGTCGGAAACTGAGCAAATACGTTTTAAGGCTAGGCTAGTTGCTAAGGGGTTCAGTCAGGTAGAAGGGGTTGATTTTGTTGAGATATTCTCACCTGTGGTTCGACATACTTCTATCCGTGTGTTATTGTCAATTGTAGCACATTTTGATCTTGAGCTGGAGCAGTTGGATGTTAAAACGGCTTTCCTTCATGGCGATTTGGAGGAGGAGATTCTGATGAAGCAGCCCGAAGGATTCGAAGCTCCTGGAAAGGAACACTATGCCTGCAGATTGCTAAAGTCATTGTATGGACTTAAGCAATCCCCCCGACAGTGGTACAAAAGGTTTGATTCTTTTATGGTTTCACAAGGTTTTGACAGGAATTCATATGATTGCTGTGTGTATCATAGTAAGCTGGATAATGGTTCCATGATTTATCTTTTGTTATATGTTGATGACATGTTGGTTGCCACAAAGAATAAATCTGATATTGCTAGATTAAAGGAGATGCTTAACTCGGAGTTTGACATGAAAGACTTGGGTGCAGCTAGGAAGATTTTGGGTATGGAGATCTACAGGGATCGGGCTAGAGGTAAGCTTTTCTTGACTCAGAAAAGCTACATTGAAAAGATTTTGTCTCGTTTTGGGATGGAAAAATCGAAGCCTATAAGTACGCCAACTACTGTTAGTTGTAAGTTGTCTTTGTCTATGTCACCTCAATCAGAGGAGGAGTTGTCTTATATGTCTAGAGTTCCATATGCAAACGCGGTTGGTTGTTTGATGTATGCTATGGTCTGTACTAGGCCGGATATTGCGCATGCCGTTAGTGTTGTAAGCAGGTTTATGGCTCGACCTGGGAGGGAACACTGGCAAGGGGTGAAAAGGATTTTTCGCTACCTGAGAGGGACAGCTGATATTGGTCTTGTGTACGGGAATGATAAGGAATGCTTGGTCACTGGGTACAGTGATTCTGATTATGCAGCTGATGTGGATACCAGGAGGTCTGTGACTGGTTATGTGTTCACTTTGGGTGGTTCTGTGGTTAGTTGGAAGTCTACATTGCAGTCATCAGTTACGTTGTCAACTACTGAAGCTGAGTATATGGCTCTAACTTCTGCAGCTAAGGAGTCTATTTGGCTCAAAGGCCTAGTAGGTGAACTGGGTATTGCACAGGATTTTGCTACAGTGTATTGTGATAGTCTAAGTGCGATTTGCTTAGCTAAAGATCAAGTACACCATGATCGGACGAAGCACATTGATGTCAGGTATCATTTCTTACGTACTGACAAGAGGATTAAGGTGAAGAAGATTGGGACTGCTGACAACCCGGCTGATTTCTTCACTAAGCCTGTTCCGTTTAGCAAGTTTAAACATTGCTTAGACTTGCTAAATATTGATTACTACGTGATGTAGTAGGCCCTGAGGGGCGAAGTTGGGGAGCTCCTGGTGTAGGTGTGTTGGCCTTAAGGTGGAGCTTGCCCGGGGCTTGTGATGCAGGTGGAGCATTATGAGTTGTTATACTTGGAGACGAGTATGTGATGGGTCTTGGTTGAAGACTTATCGGGATGTATGGCTTATGCATGAGTCCTGCATCGGGTTTGGCTTGAGATGTTTTTTCACTATGTCTTGATGGGGTCGTTTGCTGACTACGAGTTCTCGTCAAGGTGGAGATTGTTGATAAGTATATTAGGTGACTCGTACTTCGTAGCTTTGTCCGCCCGATCGGGCGGACATTGCCCGGTCTGACCGGGCGGAAGAAGAAGAGGTGCCTGGCAAATTCGTTGAAGAAGCTGCTCTCGCGCCCGACCGGGCGAGCCTTCGCCCGACCGGGCGAGCCTTCGCCCGATCGGGCAGACCTTGCCCGGTCTGACCGGGCGGTGGGGGTTAGATACGTTGAAGCATTCGTATGGAGTTTTCTTCTCGCGCCCGATCGGGCAGACCTTGCCCGGTCTGACCGGGCGGAGAAGGAAAAATACGGAACGCGGATTTTACGATTTAAAGTTATCTTTTATGTTATCTTTTTGCCCAAGTATCTTTTATGTTAGGGATTAATATAAAAACTCCCAAATATGAGTATTAGGGTTAAGAGAGACAGAGTGAGAGCCGTTCTTGAGAAATACAAGAATCATCTTTGTAATCTTTGCAGTTTATAGTGAAATCATTCGATCTCGGTGCCCGTGGACGTAGCTATCACATCGATAGTGAACCACGTAAATTCTTGGTGTTGTTCTTATTGTTTGCATTGAATTTCTTTATTGTTTTCTTGTTTGTTTTCGACCTTTGCTTCCGCTGTCGCACAACAGTTTATAAACACTGCTATACTAAACTCTCCAGGGATTATAAAAATTATGTTAAAAGAACTGCAATCAAATTGCTTTCTAGGTATGTACCTCGTACTGCTTCTTAGACTCTTAGTATAGGTATTGTGGATGAACGTAATATTGATGTCATTTGATTTTTATCATTGTAGGCTGGGATTTATAGGATGCCAAGTCATCTATCACCTGGAGCTAGAGATCTGATTTCTAAGATTCTTGTAGTTGATCCTATGAAGAGAATCATGATCCGGGATATTCGTCAGCACACATGGTTTCAAGGTCATTCTCTATGCTCCTTAGCCATGCCACCACCGGATACTATGCAACTAGCAAATAAGGTTTGACCATAAAAAATTTCTGCTGCCAAATTGCACCACATATGCTTTTGAACAGTAGTTCTGTGATGTTTTGAACTGAGACATTCAGGACTATCTGCCAGATTGGATGCCATCTTCTTTTGGTGCTTCAAATTTTGATAGAACATCACAAAATATGCCTTTGAGGATTCTTGTACAGCCATCTAGACATTCTTCACAAAATGTGATTCTTTCCCATATTCTGAAAGCACTGCAAAAGCTGAATGTCTGCTGGAAAAAGATTGGGCATTTTAACATGAAGTGCAAATGGATTCCTGGCATTCTTGGTCATCATCAAGTGATTGTTGATAACCCAGTACATAGCTTTGGCGAAGACTCCAGCATAGGCGCATAGCTCAACACGGTGCTGCGTTGAGGTCTCCCAATGCCGTGATCTTTGGGCCAATATAGAGAGGATAAACTGGTTTATGCTAGGGTTTTGGGCCAAAATACGGTCCAGATCTTTGGGTTTAAATAAATTATCACACTCTTTTGCAAGTGGTCCAATAAAGAGTCCTCTGTTTTCTTCTGTTTAAGAAACTTTTTAATAATGTTAAACCAAAATTTTACATAGTAGACAGTTCTGTACCACACTTTAAAAAAAAAAAACAACACTTGTGCAAAAGTAGGATGGTGCATGATAACAATCACTCCCTTTGTTTCTTTATTATTGTCCTATCTTATATTTTACAAACAAATTAAACGAGAATTCACAATTTAATGCTTTTTATTATGAAAAAATCAATTAAACTTCATTTGCATTAAAATGTAAAAGTATAAACAAATAGGACAATATAAAAAGAAAAGTGTGCATGTTAGATATCTCGTTATTAAAAGTTGTCATTTTTCAAATTAATAAAGTAATAAGAATTATTATACAGTTATACCTTCATATAAGTGACAATGGAAGAATATAAATAAAAACAAAAATAAAAAGTCACTGGGATGATTTTGAAAATCCATGTTATATTTTTTAATGAGTACTAGGGGTGTTTAGATAAGTTTAGTTAAGTTCAACTCGTTCAGTTTAGGAAAGATAAGTTCTAATAAGGGTTACCTAAGTACAAATTACAACTAAAATAAGTTTTGATAAAGTTTAATAAGTTTTGGTAAGTTCAAAATAAGTGAAAATCAGGTGAATAGAACACACCCTAGTTGGAAGAATATTTTAAAAATTTGTGTGTACAATGAAACACACAAAATAGCAACGTATATTATATTCAATATCAAATATGAAGTATCTACGTAATATGTACCTCGCTCCTTCACAATATAAGAAATTTAACCAATTACACAAGTTGAAATAATAAAACAACTAATTTCAGTTTTATCAAGCTATAATAGTAGTCCTTATAACTTATAATTAAGTATTGTAGCCGTTTACTTTTCTCAACTTGCATGGAGTTAGTCAACAAGGTACATGCTCATTTTATGCTAAATTAATACAATTGCACCATTTTTGTTTCTGATGCATGCATGTTGGTTAAAAAATACTGTTTCTAGAAAACATTATTGCACGTGAGGTTTGAAATTTTCATCATTTTAGTCAAAGTAAAGATGCAATAAATTCCATGTACTTGACATAATGACTTGATTTTTCTAAATATGTTTGATTAATTAGAACAAACCCACATCATGCTATGCGCCTATGCAATATTATTATTGTTAATATTCATGTCCATTTCATATTTTCATGGTCATGAACATGTAGAAAATTTATACTTGTGATTTTTTTTATAATGCAAATGATAAAGATGTGTTTAAGACTTTAAGCTCATGCATGAGCATGATCAATGGATGTGATCTTTTTTAATTTCTAATCTATGTAAATAAATTATTCCACGAATTCATGTTAACGTAAATTCTAATTTTCTTATTAATAGTAAGGAAATTTTTAGTTAAAGAAAATATTATGTACTTACATAAAAAGTAGGTACTTAAAATTCAACATATAACGGATTATGTAAGAAAAATTCGATAAAAAGTTACTTGCAAATTATTTCTAGTCAAAACTAGTTGCTACTTCATGTAACACAGTACATTTGAGGAATTATGTAGAGCATCAGAACATGAATCTCCCGTGAAATTGGACCCACAAAATTGAAGATTTTGTCAAAATGACAAAATAAATTCTAAAAAAAAAAAAAAAAAAAAAAAAGTTACAAGCATAAACTAGAAAATAATGGAAAGAGAGTAGCAAGTTCTACTGTCAATATCTATTGGCAAAAGGATATCGTCATGCCATAGGTCATACTTCACATGTCATGAGAAAATCAAATCTGGCCAACTTTATGATTTGATTAATAATTATAATCCTAAGATTTATTATTTGAGCGTAAGGAATAATATTAACAACATTAGAGACAGATTTTGCTGCCCAAAGATTTTATCAGATTACTTTTCTGTGATAATTCTTCCTCACTTCAAGAAGGATCATAATCATTTACTATGACAAAGTGGTTGGCAAACACTATATCAATATACCATAATGCTTTTATCTTCATTTTTGTTTTTTACTTTTTGATACATCCTATGTTCTTATTAGAACTATTACAATGTCGTCTAGAATCAGTTTGTTACATTTGTTTCGATGTATATTTTTTATATTGTAATACTAATAATTTTCAATTTCAGTTAGTCTTTAATTTGTTTAGTAACAAGTAATCGACTAGTTTCTATCAATACTTTGATCTAGAGCTGGGCATGGGTCAAGTCGTGTTTGAGCTTCCTTTATAAAAGATTTGAACAAACCCACACACCATGACTTTTTCTCAAACCCACACATACTATACATGTGCTTGCATGACCTAGTTTATGCCTAGCTCTAAATACTTCCTCAATCTGTTCTTTTTCAAACTTCACAATCGGCTAAGGTATTATATTTGCCAACACCCAACTTTGCCCATAAGTATATGTAATTATTGACTTCGTATTGAATAACTATTAAAAATGTAAATAAATTTAATTTTCAAGATTTATAAAATACACATTGAGACTAATTAATCTAACAACCTTCTATATAATAACATTTCTATATTTTAATACGTTAATTAGTAAGAAAATATATGGTCAAAATTAATTTATAAATTAGTCAATATGACAATATTTGATAGAGTAAAGAAAAATCTTTGATAGGATTGGGATTTTCTAATAGGATTGGACTACTTCAAGCATCTGCATGTAGTTTCATCCGATCCTCTTTGCATCATTTATGAGCTAATGAATAAGATCGACCGTACCAACTAGTTAGTTTAAAAAAGATATTGAAATTTCATTGTTATTTCATGTGGTCAAACTCTCTTTTGACTTGGAATATGCATAAATAATCCATTAGTGGCGATTTTGAACATTATTTATTAGTTCGTTGATATATATTTATGTTTATTGATGTGAGAGTCGTCTTCTATTATTAAATAACACAAAATTAATTTGTTGAGCCTATTTAGAGTTGAATCTACTATAATAATCTTATTGGTAAAAAATCCTCCTTTAATTATTATCAACTACTAATTTAACTTTTTCTTTGAGCAATTACTAATTTAACTTATTATAGAAAAAGAAAACAAATATGAAATTAAATAGAGTTATAACGAGAAGTGCATACAACGCACATGCAATTGCTCTTTGTTGGAGGCATTAAAACATGACATGTATGAATATCATATGTACATTAAAAAACGCTAGTTTCATATTTTAGTTTCGTGTATCATCATCATATATAAACCTAAACTTAAAAATTATACGCAAGATACAAAATCATTTTTTAAAATAGTGCTCATTCTACATATCTACATTGCTACAAATTTCATAAGAAGTACTAATTAATTAAGCTCCAATTATGTACGATACGTGTCACTAATAAGTGATTAATCAGAGCAATGTCACCTATAATGGCAACCTGCCTTGATTAGCATGAGATTATAATGCTCTTATCTCCATAACAAAAAGTAGCTACACGTGTCACTCTAATAAGTTAATTAGGAAGGTATTTTTGAGCACTTTTAAAGTTGATGCTCTTATGAAAAATACCTAAAATAACCGTGTTAATAATATAAATAAATTTAAGTGTGAAAGGAATTTCAAGATTTTTTTTCCAACCAAACAAAGCGAGTGAATATCAATTTCTGTATTTTTCTTGGAAATTTAGCTAAATTTGATGAAACAAATTTAATTGGATGTATTCACTATGAAGTGGACCGAAAATAAAGGGCTACTTGCTTTGATTTCATAGCTTTAGTTTTCAGATATACCTGGCAAGTTGCTTATAATTTTATTTTATTTGTGGTTGATTGTGTACTTATTTTTATATTTTGCACTTTTTTGTTTTTCTACCTTGGTGGCTAGTTCCTAGCGCAGCCTATGGAGCAACAAGCACGACACATGCTTAAACATAAATGCATATGCATCACACACACGACACATTTATTTATTATATATCCGTAAAACTAAATACATGTAAGAGTTGCTAAGTTTTATGTTACGAAACTAATTCACATGTGATTTTTAACTAGTTGTACCGCTTAGAAACTTCGAAGATCTAGAGAAAGAGTGACAAGATTGAACAAGAATGGTACTTGATTGGTCGCTCGAACTACTTATCACCAATTAGTTTTATTCATTTGGGCTAGGCTTTTATATGTGTGATTAGACTCTATCTCATTTAACACGAACTTATACGACATTCGACAACATATACTATTTGTAATATGGAATTTGTAAATTTTTAGATATTACTTTACCTCACCTCTCCCCATCAATTGAATCCATGTAAGTTTGCATAGATATCAACAATCAAGTATATCATCAATAATAATACATTAAATCATTATATAGCTAGGCTTCCTTTTTGATGTTGACCTAACAAAATAGTTTCGAAGTACATACTTTAATTTGTAAAAAGAGATAAAAAGGAAGGTTCTCTAATGATGCAATTAGCATGCCTTCTAAACTCACCGATAGTTACTGCATGTCTACGTACTAAGCATATCATATTAATTAATCAATTAATTAATTATATTATATGGTACGGAGTATTTTGTATGTCTCATTCACTAGAAAATTAAACACTTATCTAAAAGAGATTAATAAGTAGAATCGAATCTTATGGGTTAGGTTAATTAATCCTACTTGCATAATTAGGTGATAATTTGGGACGTAAACATCTAAACAGGTAGGTTATGAAATTTTGGTCAATCACTACGTTGTCGTTTTATACAAACACAAAAAAAAATAAGTTACTGTTTAATTGTTTTTTTCTCGAGATTTCTTCTTTGTTTGGAAGCATGCAAATACAAAAGAAATTAAAGTGGATATATTTTATTTTTTGTTTGGAACCTTGAAATACAGCACAGTTTTTCACTCGAAAAAGAAAGTGCATGAATCATCATATTTATTTGTTGTGTTGTCTCATAAAGTTAATAGATCTTGGGACATCTTCAAATTAGATAATATTTTTGAACCTAAAAAATGATCTAAATTATGTGACTGGTAGGATTGTGGATTTCTTTTTGAGATTGATTTAGATTTGCGGTATTGTTTTCATATAAATGTATACAAGTAAAACCTTATAGGGTGTGTTCTTTTGAATTTATTTACGCTTCATTTCAATTCAACTCCATTCATTTTATATTACTTTAGTTTAGTTTAA